CTTTTAATACAACTTCTGCTCATATTTTGCTTGAAATTGCTTCGTTGACAAAAGCAACGTTAACCGAGGTATGACTTTATAAACATTATATCATTAAATAAATTTTCATTTTAATAAAGTTTACTTAATTTTAATCCTATTTGCAAAAAAAATGTTAATTATTTAATTTTGATTTTTTTGGATGCAATTTTTTTCTCATCAATTTGTAATCCATTATAAGAAACAATTATTATGTATCTTCCACATATGAAGCAAATGATTGATGGGTATTTATACTTAATTATACACAATGTCTATGATAATAAAACGCTTCATATAAAATGATCAAGTATTTCTTGTTTAATGAAAATTATTATGACATAAGCTAATGTAATATTTAGAATTATATTTTTATTATTTACAAAAAAAAATAATTGATAGAATGAGTATAGTGATTGCTTATAATTCCTAGTAAGAATACAATATTATGACTTCAAAACCACATCACCTATTAGAGAGTTAATTAATAATCTTGTTTTAAAACAGTGTTTTCCAACTTTTTTGTGCGACTAAGTCTTTCTAAAATTCTTATGTAACATATATATAATTCGCCATACGGTTAAACTCTGGACGAGTACATTTTCGAATTATATCCCTTAATAATCAAATTGCCCTGTGTGGAGTTTGGGCCCACGTTGGAAAACACTAGTATTAAGCAGGTAATCAGTTACGCCAATATCCTAAACTATTTGAAATCGCACTAATCGAGTCCTTTAATACCTATAATTTATGTATAAAAAATATTGTTTTTAACATAACGAGCATTTTTCTTAACGAGTAACTTAATGGTTAGAAAAATATTTAAAAGAGAGGTCCCGGATTACGCGAGTGTATTTTTGAATTTGTTTCACTATACAAGTAAAAATCTGAAAATTTTGGAACAAATTAAACTCGTTAAGCCAGGTTCCACTGTATATATATTATTAGAAAGATTGAGGTGTTGTGTTCAACTATTATTATTATAATTGTTATTATTAATATAGTGTATTAACGAACTAGAGACATCCACGACAACTGTTAGTCGCATTATTATTTAAACATATATACTTCAGCATAAAGGAATCTCTACCGTGATCTCAGTTCGATACACTTTAATATAAACAAAGGGGGCCAAGCGTAAACATCCCATAACTTTACTTCGAATTCAAGCCCTTATTATAAACACATAATGATCATTACAAGTACAATCGTAATCGATCATCTTTTTCATATAAACAAATGCATAGGATTTTGTCCCTGTCTTATAATAAACAAAACCACCAAGGCCGTGGGAATGCTTAATCATCAATATATACAAACCCTACTCCAAATCACAACTCCCACCCCCTATTAATAAGAATTTACTTTGTAAGTGGAATAAGTATTTAGAATTAGTTTCAGTAAAACCTTGATAAGATGAACAGTCTCAGCAGAACCTTTGAGGACAAGCATAGTCTCATAAAAACCTAAGACGAGCATAGTCTTAGCAGAAGACGAAGTAACGAATAAATTTGTGTAAAACCAAACGAATTTCATTAAATTCCCAACTATTGAGGCTCCGCAACGGCTTCCACTGTGTCCAGAATTCCATCCCTGGCACACGACAGAGGATATGCTAGTGTTTGTATTAAAATTAAATTTAAGGGTAATTTTCTAGTAGGGTAGTTTTGGATAGATATAGAATAGAATAGGAAACTTTAAATATATGAATTTGGAGAACCTTAAAATTATGATAGTATTTCAATTATTTCGAAAATATGTAAAAAAAAGTGTAAGAAATACATTTTGATTTACAAAATAAATCTAGGTATTAGAAATGATTTATAAATAACATACTGCATTTAATGATCTTTTTACATTGTAACAATTAAGTATAAAATACACATAAATGGAAATATATGAGGAATACACACAGAGTAATGGTATAAAATAGCAGTATATTCGTACCTTAATTATAGTTTTAATATTTTTAATGAGTGTTTTTATTTCTTATTTAATTTGTATGTAAAAAGTTAATTATTTGTTACATTTTGCGTTAGTAACATTTTTTATTGTAATTAAAAATAAGTGGTATACAATAATTATGTTAAATGAGTTGATACAGGTTCTGAGAAACGTTAAATTTAAAAAAAATGTGTATGCAAATTGTGTATTGGAGTTCTGTCCGTTGAACATAAGCGTGTTACGCAAACGCATATAAAAGCTGAGATCGCGAAGCAGAGTCGACTCAGCACGGATTTAAGTACATAAAAGAGTTATAAGTGCAATAAAACGAATCAATTGTGAACATAGGTATCAAGTGGAATACACGGTTGAAAGAAGCACAAAATATAGAATTTTGATATCTGTGTGATATAAGGTATACGTTATTTGCTTTTGATCTATAAGTTTGCAATGAACTGAGGAGAAAGGGTTTGTGATTTAAGTGTATCGTGTAATTGGTTTTATTGAACCGTCGTCTTTGGTCCGATGATGTGATGAGAATGCACACGTAATATTTCGTTAACGCAGCGCAATACCAAGAGGCGAACGATGAAGACCTGGAGCCGCGGTTTTGTTTGGTTTTCGAGGGGTCTCTTTTTGTGGTTTTGTTGGCATATTTACGACGCTGGACTATCGTTTAATATAAAATAAATTAGGATTCGATTAAGTTGGGTTTCTCGTTTCAACAAAAAGATTTTGAGAGAGAGAAAAAAAAAGGAAATCCAAAAAACGAATAGTGGAAGAACACGACCGCACCAAAGGCCCCGGTACGTGTGAAAACTTTGTTTACGACATCGGGGGCGATAAATAAGTCGTGTGTATGGGTTTTTGTAGGTGTTGAAAGTCTCTTTCTCGCTCTTTCTTTTACTGTTTCGCTCCGTTCCACCCGTTCCGCGCCTCCGCCGGATGGAAAGAAACGAAACGGAATGGAAAGGAACGAAATGGAATGGATCGGATTTGATATGGAACTGAGAGGAATGGAAGATCTAAGGGGGCTCCTTTGGCCAGCTGCGGAATGCTGTTACGACTTTGTTTAATATTCATTTCTTATTCCGTTTGTGCTCTTTCCTTCTCTTTCGGAGGCCAGAGGAGACTCCGTAGGACGTGGATCTGTGGATAACCGTGCTGTGTTATTAATAGGAACTCCGGGACTTCACGCGCCCGCCGCTTCCATACAAACCACCCGCGGATCGCAGAACAACGTGCTACAAGAGATATCTCTAATTCAGATATTATAATCAACGCGATTAATTTTATCATGTAAACACCTCATTCTCACATATTTCATGCCTATTTCGCGTTACCATCGGCACCTTTCCACATTTTCCCACTACGTCTATATGCAAAATTATATAACTAATTTCTCGAATATAATGCACACTTGTATATTGCTTGAAACTTCTGCTAAAATTTAAATTATCTCTAGATAAAATTGTTTAACCTCATATATGTCTTTAATGCAAAATATTATATATAATCTTTATTTTATTTATTCTAAAAGCGTAAACTAAAATATATATTGAGACTGGATTAAATTGAAGATTTTTTACTCTCGATTATAAATTTACTAGTATGTAATATTTTATTAAAGCTGTTTCAATTTATAATACTTATTTTCAAAGTAAAATAATATATTTGGTGTTTCCAATATAATTCGCTTTTTTGTATCATAATATTTTATGCAATATAAAAACTTTTGTTATCTCATCATTTTTTCTTTAATGCAAAATAACATTTTTACACTCTCAAATATAATTAGTTACTTTTAAGCTTTTGGTAAAATGTGAATGGATGAAATTGAAACTGTTACATTTGTTTAACTTCATGCCAAGTAATATTCCTACTCTCTCGAATATAATGCGAATTTGAAAGGCTTTATGCGAATGTGAAAGATGTTAAACTCAAACTGAAATGATTTTTTTTCATAAATTTTGATATAATTTGTACAGTTTTAAACAGTGCTTAAAACTGTACAAATTATATTCGAGATTCCATACTTTACAAATTCGATTTTAAAATTATTATAAAATGCTTGAAATCTTTAAAATAAGACTCAGCGTTAAATATTTCAAAAATGTTTTTACTATATCAATGTTAACTGTCGATTAAAATACACACCACTATATTATTGTATCTATGAACCTGCAAATTCGATTTTTCAATTCTTAAAATGATGAAAATTATGAATTAATACGAACGTTTAAATGTGTAAAATTGTGCTTGTTACACACGAGATTATACGATATGTACTTTTTTTTGTTTAAAAATACACATATTTTTTGTGATTATAACATTGGTATCAATAGACCATAATCTGTGTTTTCAAATTCTACAAGTCATGATGAATTTAGTGATCATAAAATTTTATTTAATGTCTTATATCATGTTTTCTATGGACGGAGTTAATATTAAACAATAGAACAATAGTTGAACGGAATAACATTCTCAATCAAAAACATTGATATGCTTTTAAGATAATGTAAAACTAAAAAAAATATGAAATGTCTATTATGTGGGTTTATAAACTTTTTATTAGGTAATAGATTAAAATAATTTCAAAGAGTAATTTTCTGTGTTCTAATTTTTACAAAATGATTTCTGATACTTCCAATTGCAAAAATATTGATAAAATGTATAGTTTATATTAGGAAAGATTTATTATTTGCATTTTGCAAAATATTTGGTACTTCTAATTTGACTGTTTATTTATTTTCTAATTAATGATTATCTAAATAAGGAATGTTCGTTTGTTTCGAGAACATCTGTTACTCAACTATATACTTGAATTCCCAAAATAAACGAGATAATTTAGTAAAACTATTAATAAACTATGCGTTATTTTCGTGTACGACATTCTATCTAATATTTATATAAGCCCGGCTAGCTCAGTCGGTAGAGCATGAGACTCTTAATCTCAGGGTCGTGGGTTCGAGCCCCACGTTGGGCGACTTCTTTTGATACAATTAACAAAAATATATAAATTCTTAAAATTCTTATTCTTTATTTTTTACAACACACACTATTATTATTTAAAAGTTAACAATCTTGCATTCAAGTCGATCACTGGATATTTACAGTAGTTGTTATAAGGTCCTGTGGCGCAACGGATAACGCGTCTGACTACGGATCAGAAGATTCCAGGTTCGAATCCTGGCAGGATCGCTTCTTTTTATGTGTACCTCATATTAAATAAAATACGTAGATCTTGGTGACATGATACAAATATTATATTTTCGTATAATTGTATCATGGATCTTCGTAATGGTTATTCAAAGTATTTGCATTTACTTCTTTATCAATTTTTTGGCGTAAACGAAGGTCATTTGATAAGGAACTGCAATGATGGTGCTTCTCTTTCCGAAATACTTGATCTTCTCTTTCGCGACTCTTGTCGACATAAAATGATTAATAAAGTCATCAGTTACTTCAAAGTTCAGGCTCTTCAATTCTTCTACAAAAAGAAAAAAAAAACATTAAACATTATAATGAAGATGTAAAAATGTTGTTTATTATTTACCTATCATTATTTTCTTGTTTGGGAAAATTTGGTACCTCTCAAAGGTCTTGCAAATGATCTGCGTAAAACCTATATCGATTAAAGACCTTGTCAAGTTCTGTTTGTCACTGAAAAGGCGCAAATTGACTTTGCTGCAGGAAGACTGATCTTTGAGTTCCTCAATAACATGCGCAAAGAAATGATCGGTTTGTAATAATATCACGATGTCTCCAGTAGGAGTAAGGAAGTTTTTGTAGAATTTTTCGAAAATATTCCTGAAAAAAAAATTTGTAAAAGTTTGTGTTTAAATGATTGGAATGTATACAAATACCTCTTACTCAGGAAATCGTCAATGTAATAAATTGAGAAGATCCTATCGAAAGTCTCCGTGAACTGCTCGTTGCAGTTATTAATGGTCTTGAAGGTAATTTTCGGATGAGAATACCGCTGTTGCGCCAAAATCACGTCGTTCGAATTGAAATCCATTCCTATCACATTGCTCACTTCTTTCGGAAGCGCCCGAAGCAGGAAGTAATTGGTGAACATCCCCTTACCGCATCCGAAATGCAGTATGTTTTCATAGTCATTCCACGCACCGATTTCTGGGTAAAACTTCAGGATGAACTTCACGTCCTCCATTTGACACATATTGTTTTTGTACATGTTAAAAGCTGAAAGAAGCGTAATTTAGTTAAATGCAGTCAACACAATGGAGAAGCGTCCGAACGGAGCAGCTATTTATAGAAAACGGTATACATTGTTATCAGCAGGGTGGAAAGATCAGCAATGAACAACAATAAGACCAAATATTTAGAAATTTATACTTGTTGGAGTTTAAAAACAAACATGTTTTCCTTGATAATTCTTCATAATGTAAAGAAAAAGATACTTTTGTTTTCACTCTAATTGTATTGGTAATGTGTAAATAGTTATAAAGATTAAATTAAATATTTTGCTTTCCCACAAAAATCTTAATGGTAAAGTATCTAAAATATCCACATCTCTGATTAAATTCGATAATGCATTTGCAAGAAATGTGTCGACCTAATGTAATTATATCTCATTTGATGTACGTAAATAAGGATTAAATAATCTTTGAAGCACAATCAACAATACATGGTTTCAAAGTTCACAAAACAGATAAAAAAGTATGTTACAAAACAAATTTAGGAGTGATTGTTATATTTTCATATTTGATTTTATTGTAACATATTTTTAAAATTGACAAAAACTAAATTTGTTCACTTAACTTTACTATAAATAGAAATACTTTTTCCACAAGTTTCATTGTTTTGATTGACAGAAGTTAAAATATTTTATTACAATTTGATTATATAAGAAATGTGAAAATGTAGTATTTTGTATTGTCCATGAAAGTTTGCTGAATTAAAATATAATGCAAGTCTGAAATATATTCATAACTCGGTTAACGTTACCTCTGATAACGAAGTTCGCAATTTCAACGTGTTAAGAACGTTCGACAAATATATTCCATTGAAAGTTGCATTTCTTCCAACAAATACATCGGATTAGGAAGTAACCATCATTTAAGCTTATTATCGGTGTCAAACATTAAGCAATGGGAAGAAAATAACAATTAAAGCATTGATAGTTCTTGTAATGAAATGCTTAACAGAAATTGTACCCTCAGCTGGCCGAGGTAAAATTTGCAAACGTTGACCGATCCGCGGCGATAAAAAGGTTGCAACAATAGATTTGGAAAATGACGATGAAGCTGATTTTAGAAATATATTAAATATAGAAGATTAAATGATGAAGACGAAATTGCAAAAAATCCTATCAAAGAATGTTAACAACCAAAGATTTACAAAATACTTAAATGACATTGAAAACGTTAAATTAGCAAGTAATCAGTGTTAAATGTAACTATTCCATATAGTTATTTTTTAAATGAAAGATAAAACTTTTCTTTCTTGGAAAAATAAAGAAGATTTTCTTTATGAACTATTAAAAACTGATATAAATTGAACAAGAGACAAACTAAAACACACTGTAATAATCTAATTCCAAGTTAATTTCAGTTAACAAATTTAATTTACAATGTTATCTTTCTCTATTAATATATGTTTTATATTCTTTTTGAGATAATAATTAATCCAAATAGTATAACAATTATGTGGGTTACGCTATTCCTATTACTGTGGTCATCTCATATTTAATGAAGATCCGAAGAAGAACAGATGAATAATGACAGGTTTAAAGTGCAATCGCTGAGGCGAACAGGAACATATAACATATTGTTCTTGCATTTTTAATACTTTGACCTACTAATTACTACCGTCGTTCGAAGCGAAGCTAATCATTTTAATAGTTGATTTCGGTGAGCGTAATATTGTTTTGGGACATCGAAACGTCTTTCTCCTCGCTGAGGGGGAGAGATACAACCTGAAGTCCTGAATGTTTCAGTGGTTTTTCGTTATTTACATTCGCGTGCGGTAAATGTTATAGCCAGTAGCAAAGGCTAAGTGGTAGTTTCGCCTGTTTGGATGTTACGCGAGCGTGGAAAAACCGACAGATGGAACACTTGATGCTACTCAATATTTCAGAGGATGATTACTGGTCTTTTGACCGGCATGTATCGTGCACGATACGTACCGTACTTCTATACAACAATTGTACACGGTGATTCAGAAATGTTAAATACAAAATATAAATTTAATATATCAATATTATTAAGTAAGCGATACTTGACAAGTAACATGTATAACTATAAATATACTGTATGTAAATGAAGCTCAAGCATTTATCAAAGAAAATATGATAATAATTTAAAATTTTCATGTTTTTGTCATTTTTGGGTTAAGGGTCATAAGTTAAACAATTGCACTCTATTTCCTCGTTATGACTCTTGTGAGGTTAGACATAAAAGTGAAGTATTTTTTATTCTCTAAGTTAATTAAGATTCTAATGAACGAAGCATACATCCTTTTCTTTGATAAGAGTAGAATTTGGATAATTATAACTTTTATTTTCAATTAATTATATCTGTACTACAATTTACATCTATGTAAAATATAACCAATCATTATTTATTTAGAAACGTCAATCTTTAATTGTTATAAAAAAATCTTTAATTGCGCTCATTTTATTGTAGTATTTATTCATTTTTATTGAGTGCAAAGTTTTATTAAGTTTTAAGCATAGTAACACTGAAACAATTTAATTTATTAATTTTAACTTACTTGTTGCTTTTTTTTGTATGAGTCCTTTGTGATTGTGATATACGCTAATGACCTAAGCTGTCGATGCTCAAAAACGAATAAAAAAAAAGTAACACTGTTTAGATATAAAATACAGCAACACTTCGTATAGTAATTGGTTCCATCAATTTCCCGGATTAATGAAGTAATTAAATAAGATAGGAATTAAGTGCACTTTTTTGTATAAAAAGATAATCTTATATATTAAATTTATAGAATTTATTTCTAATAATAATAATAATAATAATTTATTGGCCAAACATCAATACATAAGAAAAAAAGTACATTATACATATAAATAAATAAATTCTAACATAAAATTAAAAAAAATATATATATTAATAAGCTGGCCAAAGGGCTAACGACCGAGGTCTTTCCGCCCTTTATTTCTATTTTAATAATAGTAATAATAATATTTATTGTATCAAAAAAAACAACACAATTTAATAAAACAAAAAGTCCACTAGTGTATAGGGCTTTTGATCTAGCTCTTCTAATTTACTCAATTATCATTTTGTTTGTTTTGGAATTTTCAAATCTGGACTGATAGATGTCGTACTATGCGAGATATTGCTGTTCTTCATAATATAATTGAATATATTGCACTATAAAACTCAATTGAAAATATATGAAAGCAAGACAAAATGGTAAACCGCTTATTGAATTAATTATACAATAGTTATGTTTTTCCTGAAATAATTATTATTGCAAATTATATATTAACAAAATTGATATATTTATGAGAATAATTGTTCCCTTCTCTTTTATACAACATTAGCTCATTTATTCATTGAATGTTTATACATTCATTGGATCTAAACCTTCAATTATCTAAAATACACATTTCAGAAAGAACAATTGATCTTTCAAATATAGTAAACACCACTTATCGTAGTTAACATAACACATTTCATTTTATGTTCTAAATTAATTAGATCTAAACTTTGAATTATCTAAAATAAACATTTATATTATTTTCTTGGAAATGATAGATGAAAAAATGAATTAATAAATAAATTATTGTAATGAGATTCACTGTGTATATAGAGATGGATGTTCGCTTGATACTCGTCACATAATCGAATGAGTATTAGCCGAGGTAAATAATGCATACAGTCTTTACTATTATTTAATAACAGTGGATATAACAAATCGCTTGATGGACAACTGAGACATGCAATGCATGCTATTATCATTTTCCATCGAAACCCCCCCGTGACCGACCACCACCTATCGCTGCTCAATATACACAAACCGTTCGAGCCACCCTTAAAACAATTGACAACTTTCCCGATTGAAATATGCATGAGATCAGATGTATATGAAGAAACGTATCAAATATGCAGACGTGTAAACGTTACGAAAACATTTATAACTTTAGCGTTTATCGGGTAGTTCCGGACGTAATAAGAATAATTTCCTTTAATTCAATAAAAGCGAATTGAAAGATCACAGTGCTTTGAATAATGATATAACCAGGAAAAGAAAGAAACTAAATAATCTATTGTGAAGAAGAAAATATCACCTATTAGTCATAATCGAATCTATTGGATATATCAACTCAACTGTGGGTAAATGCGGCTCTCATTAAAATTTTATTTTATCATAATTGAATTTTATTGCTAAAATTTTGATAAATACAAATTTTTGAATTTCTTTATTTACGTCTTTATGAAATATAAAAAAACATGATTGCGTCTCTTTTTGGCCTTATGTGAGCCCACATATACTATGTCTTATATATTTATACAGTAGATTTTTTAAATAATATTGTAGTAATATGGACAAAAAGACCTATAGTTCTTTGCAGCAGTTGACTTCATATTTTGTATTTTCGATATTGTAATATTTTGTATGAGAAAATGATTCAATAAATAGAACATTTTAAAAATCGTAAAAACATGGTAATTAGTAAACATTATTAATTTCTAATCAAATTCTCTAGTAAATAATTATTTGATCACAAAATTATGAATAAATTACATACAAATTATGAAATAATTACGAATTTAATTATTTTTTAATTACGAAGTAATTATATTATTTTGATTTTCTGTAATAATTAAATATTATTATTTTATACATTTCTTGATACATTGAAGTGATATAATTTTGTTACCGACGTTACTAGTAATCAAATTATTAATACAAAAATACCTCGCATAGTACGGATACTCCAAAACTGGATTAATCGAGAAACTAAATTTTATACAAATTTTGTTCACTACTTCTTAAATTTAATTTAGTGAATCCGGAATGTCTGAAGCTTATCAGAGCTATTGGAGATGATATGAATCGGTGAATATATTGTGTTTTAGATTATTATAGAGTTAGAAACGCATTCACACGAAAAGAAATGTGTATTTTTAAAATACATGAATTGTGGTATAATTATTCTAGTGTTCTCATGCTTTCTGCCATGTTTCATGTCACATCCAATTTAGTTCCATTATTTTGTCAGTTGCACGAAAGATAGGCGACTGCTTAACATAAAAGCAAAACAAATTAACGCTTTATCCGCACTCCACAATGGACGTAATCTGATGGAAGCAAACGAAAATCGTAAAACACTTTCCGTGGAAAATAAAAAGAAATACTTCTGCGAACTGTATCGGTTTCTATTGTGACTACAAGTTTTGCAGAACTGAGCTTTGTGCAAAAGATGCAAGGATTTTCTTTTTCCCGTAACGAGATTTTCATTTATTTAATTTGTTCCTTTACGTGTGAAACTGAGGAGCGCGCAAGGTGTGGTGCAGAACGTTCCCAGCCACTTGTACAAATCGGATTAGATTAGGTCAAATCATCCAGAAGGGCCTCCTCGAAACCAGGAAACGTCAAATGTGTCTCGTGGTACGTTTCCCGTCGACTGGCCACACGAGGGCCCATCTCGAGAAATTATCCTTAGAGGCAACGGAGTGTGCAAATATTCGTCACTTCATGTTGATGGTGCAGAGAGAGAAAAAAAGGGAAACTTTGCAGAGGGTCAGGACAACAAAGGGCGAGAATTCTGCACGAAGATTTAGATGTTTTAACATATTTATTAACTGCAATGGATCTCGAGATTCTTTGTTTTCTTCTTCGGGTGCGTTGTGCCGTAACTTGACGGCGATTTGATCGAAGTTGATTGATTTGTTCTTTGTTTGTTATACCTGAGTTCTTTGGGCGGGGCGACGTCGTTCGACCGCCAATGGCCGCCTTGCGATTTATTGCGGCCGTGATTTAACTCTTAAGACACTCACTCTCCTTCGGTTTCCAAAGACGCGAAAGTTTTGTCAAAATGGCGACATGCAATCATTACTTTGTACTTTATAAATATAATACAACAGTTAACATTCCGCAAACCTGATTTCAACAATTTCATTTCGAATATTACAACTATAGGACATAAAAATAAACAAAAAGTTAACAATCCGCAATCAATATTTAATACTATTTTTTGCTTATTAATTCTATTAAAACTTTTATACTTTTTAAACAGTTTTTCTTCATTTATATTTATAATAATAACAAATATTGAATGCTTTAATTATTAATAATCAATTTAACTATTAATAAAACAATAAAATGAAAGATAAATTTGTATTCATATATTAATAACAAAATATATTTATCTTGTTTGTATATTTGCACTTGATCAATGTAAAAATATCAATAAGTAACAATAATTGACGTAAATGTCCTTGAGATTTATGTGTATGACTTTAAAATAACCAGTTTAATTGATTTAAAGTCCCGTTCAAGGTTTTACATGTTTATATTAAATACAATAATTAAATAAATTAATTGCAACTAAATTTTATAAAAATTAATGTGGAAGTATTATTTTTTCCTTTAAGCCTATTACTTTTGAGAACATTTAGAATATATAGAATAATAATGATTATTAATCAAATCAAAGTTTTTGAAGTATAAATATAAAACAAAGAGATAAAAATATAAATATATTAAAGTTGAATTGAAAAAATTATTTCCTACTACTAATAGAAATTTACGATTTGTAAGGTATTTAGTGTAAATCAGCATTTTTCAAATTTCCAATGATAGTTGTCACTTGTATCAAAGCGAAAATCGTGAAACAGTCTTAGCTCTCATCAGTAGTTTCTCTTTGTAAAACTACAAACAAATAAGTTAGATCGCGCAACAAAAAGGTTGAGAAACTCTGGTGCAAAGATACAAACGATTTTGTAAATGCTTTTGTAATTTTATAAAGAAACCAAATCTATATAGGAATAGAGATGTCTACTAAATTTATTATAATGTATATTTTACTTATGACATGCTTTAGTAACATTATAATTATTATAACTACGACTAGATTATTAAATGTGTTTTTTTACAAAACAAATATAACCTTCGATAGCTCAGTTGGTAGAGCGGTGGACTGTAGTTTGTAATATGAAATAGTCATCCATAGGTCACTGGTTCAAATCCGGTTCGAAGGATTTATTTTACTATAATTCGTAGTATTTTACTCAATTAACTTGCAGTTCTTCATTTATAATTTAATTATAATTAATTCATTTATTTTTCATGAATTTATATTTTGTTATAGAGCTGATAGAGAAAGTTATATATAAATAAACTTAACATACCAAAAATCAACGAAATATTCCTTAAATATTGAAAAAAATCACTTGGCAATAACTGTGTATTGGCAATGTAACGAAACGATGGACGATGGACGATGTTAACTTGGTGATTACTAAATGCAAACTGAATGACCCTTGCAAAAATTGTCTATTTGAGTGCAGCGAAAGTATTTAGAAACGAAACATGCCGAAAGCATGTTTTTGACCGTTTAAGGTCAACTTTACAACAACCCCCATAAAGTTGGGAGAATTTAAGTAAACAGAAGAGAAAACTTTCTCAAGGTTACTTGAGTAAAATGTTTCAATAGATAAATCCTTATTTCCAACAGCTGATTTTTGTGGGTATTCTCCAGTTCAAAGATACTTACATTTAAATAAAAACGAAAAACGATTTAAAATAAACAAGATCACTCACGTACACTTTTTCTCGAGAAAACCACCAAACATATGAATTCGATTTATATATTTTATTTACGCTTTTTTTAATGCTCAAATCAAAAAGACTTAAAGAACAGATTAAGAAAAAATATTTTTTTTAAGAAATCAAAATATATCAATCAAACATATATATTTGATGACATTTACCCAGGTAAATCGAATAACAAAAGATGATTTAAATACAATTAAAGTAATTGAAGTTAAAATAGTTTTGTGTGTGATCTTCATGTAATAATGGAATGTTTTAAACAAAAATTAATAGTGATTATAAACTACTTAGAGTTTGTAAATTAACACTTTGAAGACTATTTGCTTATTTATTTCTTTGAATCCAAAAAAAATCAGTTTTTCAATTTTTCCTATATCTAATTGACTACTTTATTTGTTAATTGTAGTAATTATAATACCATAATACCATTATACCATTATAACAATAAATCAAACAAATAATACTACACATTTAAAGCGATTAAACTCATTTATTTGAAGTTGAATAACATTAGAAGTAATACAGTAATAGAATTTTGTAATATTGATAGTATTGATGTTGAGATTATTAATAATAAAATATGATTTAAGTTCAAATTATAATTGTAATTACAATATTTATATGGAAAGTTGCAAAATATTTAACCCCTTAAGTGAGTATGTCGTATATATTCGTCTTGGCCGTAGCGCTTATGACGAATATATTCGCATCATGAATAATAAAATACGCTAGCAATAAAACTAGTTGGCTATTACAAGAGCCACATCATATAATACATCAATCCGCTTAAACGGTTAATTAATTCTATTACCGAAAAATAATTTTATTTTGTTTAAACGGTTTATAGTTATTATATAATTATTATCTACTGATTAAAATCCAGTAAAACTTGTAACAAATTTAGTTCTTAGAATCTTAATTGTATAATTAGAAAAATTTCAGTATGTGTTATAATTGAAATATTGGAAGAAATATTGTTTGTTATTAAAATTATAAATAATATTTTGGTTGAACCGTAACTACATAAATAATTACAAGTAAAAAAGTGAAATTAAATTAAGCAAATTCTATCCGCCTAAATCATTTACATTAACTAATTCAGTAAATATTTCTACTAAACCTAAATTTAACATATAAAAGAATTAGTATATGCAAAGATTAAACTATTTCAATGTCATTAGAGCTAATTCAGAAGTATTGCAATAAAGGGTTAACAGGCTTATACGAACTAAGTTTTCGCTAAAGGAGAATTATATGTTAGCCTTTTTTGGAATTGCTTTCATCCTATACGTTTTCATTTCATTCTTTATTCAGAAAACGGGTTTAGAATAGAAATGCTGCAAAGAACTAATCCAAATATCTATATACTCAAAGTATTGATTACGCTTCACTGAATTTTCAATTGCGCATTGAGACGGAAAATAATTCTATGATACAAACATTTCACAATATATTCACATGAAATATTTTTGTTTAATTTATTTGTATCTATTAAAAGAACTTTTAAGTAAAATAGTTACTAATGGGACTAACAGGTAATTATTTTGTTGAGTTTGTAGTATGTTGATTTGTGGCAATAAATGTTGTTATTATTAGTTACTAATCATCATTCTTTCAGCTATATCTTTCTATATTAATTAAAGTAAAATTTATTTTATACAAACCAAAAAAAAAACATAAAAAGTAATATTTATTCAATAATTAATAGACGTATTTTTAATTTTACTATAACATATTGTTTGTTAAGAAATTTTCTATAAGTTTCTCTATTTGCCATTTTTGTTTGTAGGACTTTTTCTATATTTTTTTGACATTAATTTAACATCCATTTTCAAATTATTTTTATCATGTATATTTTCTGAAAATGTTTATTTATATAATGAGTTTAGAAGTATTCAAACAGAACTTATTCAAATATCTATATAGTATTGATTATGTTTGATTTTCCATTACACAGTGAAGTAGAAAATAATTCTTACATATAAACATATCACAATTTGAAATAAGTACAGTAAAACAATTATACTGGTCTTAATTTACAGGCGTTCGAATTAACCGTGGTCTTGTCTTAGTGTTTATATATTTTATAAATTCAACAATAAAATTGTCTCTGCAAAACTGCCGTTAAGTAAATAATTTTGTAAGGAAAACAAGAAAAAATATGTTTTTGTTTTAATTTATATTATAATTTGTATATCGATATAGATATTAAATTTGTAAACCGAATAAATGCGATATTTGTATTAACCGTGCTTTTCAATTATTCCCGATTTGCTTTAACATTCCCGATACCACGGATAATCGCTGATTTACTTTACATTAATTTTAAGGATTATTATTTCTATACAGCCAACCCATTTATAACGAAATTAATTGGTATCGTGTAACATGAAAACCGCGTTATTAGAAGCTCAGAATAAAATCTAATTTTATATGGAAATAGAATTTTAATTCCTTACTCAAATCAAGTCTATTTTTCACAACAATCCAGTTGAAACTGTCAATCCAATTTTTATACCTTTTTTGTTTACCATAGCATTTGATATAGAAGATTTATTTAATCAATTCTTCTTCATCTTATAAACTTTGGATTCTAAAGTTTCTTCCCGAACTAGTTCTTAAGTTAATTAATAAAAACCGCGCTATTAAATGGTTTTTGTCGTTAAAAAGATGTTAATTGAATGTATTACCAAGATTTATTTAGATGAAAAATGAAAAAATTGTAGCATATTGTTAAAAATGGCAATTATTGTTAGAAATAAAAAACTGATACTTTTGTTATAAATTAATTTAAAATATTAATAATATTCTGAGATTATTTTAATTATTAGAATTACATTTATTGTATAATTTTATCATGATTTTCAAAGTGTGGGTCGCGACCCCCAGGGGGTCACGTAAAATATAATAACAGATCAATCCATAAACTCATTCTTCGGGTTTTTTTTCCAAAAGGGGGTCGCGAATTAAAGAGATTGAGAATCACTGATTTAGAAGAAAAATCATATATTTGTTTTGAACACTATTTCATTCAATTTGTCTAATTATTGGTTTTATAAAATCTATATGGAGTTATAGGCTTAAGTTAAATAAAGTGTAATAAAGGTTTTCCTATAGAAATTATAGTCCATTCAGTGTATCCTTCATCCACGCGTATTCTACTCTGTACGAAAGGACGAGAAAGAGTGTGTATACATATATGTATTGCAAAGATTTGGTTTGTTGTTGAGTGGAGACTAATCCAAAGATCGAATTATCCGTGTTTGGTGTAATGAGATTTCGATGAAATTGAGTGCGCTCGTTACGGACGAGCGATTCCTCCTTTGACAGGCAGGATGAAGATGAAGATGAAAAAGGGGTTTGTACTGTGTGCGTGCATCCTCGGATGTGCATGAATTGTAATCCGGGATAGTTTTTCGGTGAGCTCCGGGACCGATCCATCACGGTTTTTCAAAATGTGCCTCGGAATCCAGAAGTCCCCATTATACATCAAAATCACATGACGGCTCACGTCAACCGTAATCCCAGAGCTATTTGTAAGAGACCACAGAACGGAATAACAAAGCGACAAGAAAAAGAAGACGAGAGCGGAGTAGAATAAAAGCTGAAATCAAAATGAAAATAACTATGCATATTATATGTATACATATATACGTATTTTTATTGTATTTGTGTGTATGTGTACGCGACAACAATGAATGGAATTAATTTTGTCCACTTGTCAGGCAGAGCATTTTCCTAACAACAAACAGAAACTGACACAAGGTCTCTTGACGTTTCTGGATGTCCTGTGATTATTTTAAATATGAATACGAATCAAATTCTGGAGAGGAAAACAGAAAGGAAATACATAATATATTCGCTATATTAATACGAATGAATAGCGAATTGGAGAAACGTTACAATCGGTTCAATTAAAATTATATTGTATATATTTTAACTCAATCTAATTCACAAATATTATTATTAACATAACTATAGTATTAAATAAACTATATATATTGAGTTTAGTTTATTAATAATGTAAATTTAAGAACGTTTTCACTGGTAAATTAAATCTACATAATATTATACAAGTACATAAGACTTGAGTCTAAATTTTACTGATAAACAAATCTAAGTTTATTTAAATCGATTCAATTCATAATTTTGAAAGAAATTACTGGAAAACAAAGAAATTACTGATAAACAAATAAATATAAATCATAAGCCCACAAAAAAAATAATTCTTCATCTTCATACAACTAAAATTGATCTTTTATATGTTTCATGTTATTTTTTACAAAAATATAGTTGAAACTTCTTTTGTATTAGGTAACAAATATGTTATTATTTATCATCGCCTGTTTTACTAAAACAAATAATTTGTTAACATTTTTAATGAAAAACTCAAAATCAATACTTTAGTGTAAACAGTATAAACTAGATATTTAATTGAATTTTTTTTATTAATAATGTCGAGATTCAAAACTGAAAATAAAAAGATTAATTGTGTTTTATTGTAGATTTATATTTAAAAACTATATTTTCTTCATACTACATCGTAAGCTACTAATTATACGTTAATTTTTAATTAATAATTTTATTCATTGTAACTTATTTCTAATTTTTAATATATGACTGAGATTTAAATTATATTTTATAAAAAAAAAATATTAATTAAACATAAAAAATATCTGTTATTCCTCGTAAATATAATTTTAAGAGCAGAAAGACTTATGGTCAATAGCCGCCCTTTGTAACAGTTAATCTTTTGTTTTACTATTATTATTGTTGTAAATGAAAATGTTTAATTTTGTTTTTAATTGTTACAATAAAGATTATTATTATTATTATTTTAAATCAATAAATTATGTTTCAGGGGTTGCCAAACTGTGGCTCGCGAGCCTCATGCGGCTTTTCAAGTGTCTTGTTCTAGCTGGTTGAGCCACAACAAAACAGAAATATTATATATATTTTATATTATAATT